ATGGAGTGGAGCTCAAGTAGTTTCACTTCCAGTGTTTGTATAGCTGAAGTGGTTGCTTGGTGAAGTTGTCTTCTTGCAAAAACAGGGTTGATGTTTTGAGCCAGCTTGTCTCTGCTGAATGAACCTGAGAATGGGTGCCTGAGTGAGTACTCTGACCTGGGAACCCACAGCCAAAGGAGGACATTACACTGGAGAGCCATTGCCACTCTGAGTATACCGGGGGGGGGGGGGGGGAGAGAAACTTGCAATGCCCAGCCGTTTTATGTTCCTAGGCTTAGAGCATTAGTGATCCTTGTGCTTTTACTTGATGTTTTCTTGTAAAAATTGCATTGCCAAATCCCAATATCCCCCCCACCTTTCCATTTTAGGCAGGCATCTTTTTTGGGGGGGGGGAGGTTTGGGTGGTGTCAGTTATCAAAGACAGTTAAATAAAATATCACAAGTTTTAAGCATATTAAATTTTAAGTAAAACAATAATATCTTTAATTGTGTTTGTATCTTTTATAAAGTTTATATCTCTGCTACCTGGCATTACATTTTATGGCATGAATGGCCTGGCCCCACAAAATCCCATTTATGTCAGATCCAGCTCTTGTAACAAATGAACTTGACATGTCTGATCTAGAGCTTAAGTTTTGGTAGAAAAATGATTTATAGATAAAAGACATTCCAGTGAGTACCAATTATAAAGTACGTTGTGACTAGGTGTTGATTTATGTAAGTTATTTGGTACTGTAAATTCATATGCAAGGACAAAAATGTCTGTGGTGGCATAGAAAAAACTAAGTGCCTCCCTTCTCTAGTAAGCAACACATGCCAGATGTGAGCGTGCACACATCTAGAGCTGGCTAAAGCTGAATTATAGTGTCACTCTGATGTTGAGCCAAAATTTGTGAGACTGTTGCAAGCATTTTGCCCACCCATGTAAAAGTTCATAAATCTAAAAGCCGCTGAGTGAGGGTTACCTTTTTATGAGCTGTCTTGGTCATGTGAATAGTGTGGGGTGGACAGCTCCTACCTGGAGGTGCCGATTCATGTAGTCGAATGTCTTAATCTGGTTTCTCTTGGTCTGTCAACAAGAAATATGTTGGCTAAGTATTTTTTTCTTATCATTGCCTGTTAAACTCATAGTACACAAACTGTGTATGGCTTGTCAGTTACTTTACAAGTTAGTGATTCACCTGAATTTGGACAATTCTGGTCTAAGGGATGTTGTTTATAGCTCGAATTTCTTGATCCCTTAATTTAGAATTTAGCCTATAGTGACTGACTAATGTTACAGACTTTATCATCTATAGTATGCCAGAATACAAAAACAAAAATGTAAAACTATGGTCTTAATATTTTACTCATTATATATTCTAATGCAAATCATATAAATTAGAACATATACTTCTACAATCTGGATGAAATTTACATAGTTAAACTATTTGATTTCAGAATGAAAGATTTAAGCACATCTTTACCTCTGCCATTGCATCAGTGGGATTTAAAGGAGTATGTCTTCAGTGTGCCTATTGTTAAATCTACTTTTTGTGTGTTTTTTTGTTTCAGGAACTAAGCAGCTTAAACACATTTTATTGAAAGATGTGGACACCATATTTGAATGTAAATTGTGCCGCAGTCTCTTCAGAGGACTCCCAAATTTAATAACTCATAAGAAGTTCTATTGTCCTCCAAGTCTCCGGATGGATGACAGTAAGTTTGACCCTCTCAGAAGTCCTTTCTAAAAGTGTAAAGGCTTTGGTCCAGGGTTTGCAAAGCAAGTGCTGGTAAACATTTAGGCTGGGTTTAAAAAAAAAATAATTCACAAGGTCACCTTCCTAAGTGCTAGAAATGGAGTTGTCTCATACATTAAATAATATTCTGCATTTTAGCTGCACTGCTATTTATGTTCTGCTGTCACAGTGGTTTTTAATTGTTTCTTCCAGATCTCTAATTTCTAGGGCTATTTAAAACCATTTGTAAAACTCCTTAAAATGTTTTGAATCCAGAGTACAGTATCTGTGTGTGCTTGTATTTTCTTACAGATAATATATATGAAAACTTTGGTTGATGGTAATTTAAGTGTCTGAATTCTTTGGGAAATTTAGACAGTAATGCGGGGGGGGGGGCAAAGTCAGTCCATTGAAGCTTCCTCCAGCCTAGTGGCCTTCTTCTGACCTCAGTGGCTCTCTTGGTGGAGGATGAACCATTTATGTTGGATGAAGTCTCTAAAGGCTGGAGGAAGACTTCTTGGTGATAGTTGGATCCACACAATGGCATGGATATAAGCAAATGCAATCACATATATTTAATCTTGGTTGGAAGCCAGTAATGGGGCTTTAGTGTGTCTCCATTTCCTTCTGCAAGGTAGAGGCTGGCTGGCTGCTGAGTGTTTCAGGAATGGAGGAACCAACTGACAATTGGTCTGGAAAAGGCTCTGCTGTCTCTCACAACCTTCTTCAAATATGTGCCGCTTTTAAGACCTGCACAGTTAAGAGCTGGTAGTCCTCTGCACATAGCCTGCACATGGTGTAGTGGTTAAGAGCAGTGGAGTCCAATCTGGAGACCTGGCTTTGATTCCCCACTCCTCCACATGAAGCCAGCTGGATGATCTTGGGCCAGTCACAGTTCTCTTAGAATTCAGTCTCACCTGCCTCACAAGGTGACTATTATGGGGAGAGGAAAGGAAGGCAATTGTAAGCTGCTTTGAGACTCCTTAGGGTAGAGAAAAGCAGGGTATAAAATCCAACTCTTCTTCATATATGCACAACAAAACAGCTGATGAAGGTGCTTGAGAATCAAGGTTTTGTTTCTAAAACAAGTATGTATCTGAGAATGATAATCATTAATATGCCCTTTAAACATTGTTTGTACTTACATTTTGTACTTACAGACTCTCCTGACATAAATGATAAACAAAGTCAAGCCATAAGTGATCTCTTGGAAGCCATGTATCCAAAAGTGGACAAGCAGGACTATGTAATCCGACTGGAGCCTATAGAAGCAAACAAAAATGCTGTGTTTCAACATGTTTCAAAGGCTAACAATGCCACTGAGAACACTGAAATGAATGTCACTCCTGTTCAGGCCCCTGCAGAAATGCCAGAGCCCAGCATAGAACCACCTAAAGCCGTTCCAGCTCCTTCAGAAGTAGAAACTGTAGAGATTCCTCCTCCTCCTGCTGCTAGTAAGGTAATATCTACTCCAGAAGAACCATCCCCATCCTCGAAACCCGAGTCGGAATCTGAGAATTCCAGTTCTGGACATCAGTTAATTTGTTGTCTCTGTAAAAAAGAATTTCATTCCAGACGCAGTGTACGTCGTCACATTAGAAAAGTGCACCAAAAAAAGATGGAAGAACTAAAGAAATTTATTGAAATTAAAAAAAAGCCAAATCAAACTACTGGAAGAGGACGCAATAAGAATGTCCTTGTAACATTGGGCAGAAGTTGTCCTGTATGTTTTAAATCCTTTGCTACAAAAGCCAATGTAAGACGGCATTTCGATGAAGTCCACAGAGGACTGAGGAGGGATTCTATTACTCCTGCTATAGCTACAAAACCTGGCCAACCTTTGTACTTGGATACAAGTTCTAAAAAATCACTGAAGTCTCCAAAACAGAAGTCTTCTTCAAAGGCAGAATACAATTTAACTACTTGCAAATGTCTCTTGTGCAAGAGAAAATACAGCTCCCAAGTAATGCTGAAAAGGCATATGCAAATTGTTCACAAGATAACTCTTTCTACAAAAAGTACTAAAAGAGAAAAAAAGTCCAGTAGTGCTGTTAACACAGAGGTGAAAGTTAAAACTGAACCAACAGATTTTTCAGAATCTGTGCCTCCTGTTTTCACTTCTGCTCAAAATGATGTGAAGGGAGCAAATAATTCAAATGAGCGAAAGAACGCTTCATCTGAGCGAAAGAACGCTTCATCTGAGCGAAAGAACGCTTCATCTGCTGAAAGAAAGAATGCCTCATCTGCTGAGAGAAAGAATGCAGGACCTGCTGAAAGAAAGAATACACCATCAACTGAAAGAAAAAATGCATCATCTGCTGAGCAAAAGAATGCATCATCAACTGAAAGAAAAAATGCGTCATCCACTCAGAAAAATAAAGTTAAGCAGGGCTCAGAAAACTCAAAGTCAGCTAATCAATCTATTGTGGGTGGTCCAAAAAAACCCAGGAAACCAAGACTTTCAGCAGGTTTTGATTTCAAGAAGCTTTACTGTAAACTCTGTAAACGTCAGTTTACTTCTAGACAGAATCTAACAAAGCACATTGAGTTGCACACAGATGGGAATAACATATATGTCAAATTCTACAGGTGTCCCCTCTGCACTTACGAAACACGCCGAAAGCGTGATGTGATAAGACACATAACTGTAGTACATAAAAAGTCTTCACGTTACCTTGGTAAAATAACTGCAAGCTTAGAAATCAGAGCAATAAAAAAGCCCATTGACTGTGTTTTAAACAAGGTGACGAAAAGAGGCCCTCAGAGGGATGAAGGAAAACAAAATGGTTCAAAACAGGATGTCACCTCTAATTCACCAAGTAAGAAATATGAAGGAGCCGATGTCGGCATTGAAGTGAAAGTCACAAAAAACTTTTCTCTGCACAGATGCAATAAGTGTGGAAAAGCATTTGCCAAAAAGACTTTCCTAGAACATCACAAGAAGACTCATAAGGCAAATGCATCACACTCACCTGAAGAAAACAACAAAACCAAAGGGAGAAGTACGAGATCTAAAGCTCTTGTTTGATGAGGAACAGCTAGTGCCTTCTTACATGTTTGTCTAAATTTTCCAGTGATACTCCTAGCTCAGATGTACTTTTCTGCTAAATTGATGCTGTAGGAGATACAAAACCCCCCAGCATTTAATCTTTTCAGCCAATTTTTTTTCTATCGCATGAAACAAAGAGTTCACTTCTGAACTTCATTCAAGACACTGCTGCCCGGTACACTTTTATTTGTGCAGGGTTAGTCCTTCAGTTCAATTAATATTCAGTATCAAGTTGTATTGGTATAATACTTAGCAGTAGGTATCGTAGTTCCAAAGGTTTTTGAAAATTAACTTTGCACTTCTTTGGTACTACCCGGGCTGGAGGAAAGTCTCTTTGTGGGCTGGATATGACCTGCAGGCACTGTATTACCCAGTTTAGTAGGTTGGCAAACATTTTTAGTGTAGAATTTTCACAGAAAACTAAAATGCTCTTGACAATTATAAAATGATGGCATATAAAATCAAACTTACTTTTGAGGTGCGGTGGCAATTCATTGTGACACCTTCTTGCATTAATAAAGCCTTTGCTTGGCTGATACAAGATACTTGTAAATCCCTGCTTTATCTGAGCAAGTTCTGTTGCTATTTGGCTCTTATGTTTGAATTTTTAAACCATGGTGTTCGTTCCACAGACACTGTTTAAGAAAAAAAAAGTGTTTCAGATACTCCACAACTCCATTTTATGCAATGGAAATAAATAAATTGGAAATGTGGAAAATCAGTCTAACAGCACATTTTTGATCCAGAATATTTTGGGACAACTGGCAGTTAAGGAAAGAATAGTTTTTTTAAAAAAAAATTACTACTTTATATAAAAGATTGTTAATCATTTAACATGTGGTTTTTAAGAGCATATGTCTGTTGATACTCCTCATTTCAGTTTCCAAGTTGTCCTCATCTGAAGGTAGCTTCCCACAATTAACCACTTCTGGATTGTGGTTTTAATGTGAAAGTATTATATAGAGAGAAAGAGAGAGAGAGGTACCAGCTCTCAGCTGTTTGGAAACCACCCTCAGGTTGTATATGTGTGCTGTTTTTAAAGGCAACATCATAATGAGATGGGTCATTACCAAAACCACAATTAACAAAATTTCTTGTGGCATTGCATTGTAAGCTTTAAGTGCTACCCACTGTTTAAACCTCATTTTTATTGAGTAGGAGTTATAAATATGTCTACTTGTAACATCAAATGATGTGTTGTAAAATTTGGAATTAGAACCACTGATGTCTTGAATAGTGCTATAAGAAGAATATTTTTGTAAGCTATTTTCTTACTAAATGTTTTGACTTGTAACAGCAAGGCTTTGTCCAGTGTTTTCAACAGATATTTTTAAAAATTACCTTTGATCTAAAAGCCAGCTGTCCTAGTTCATGCAGTTCAGTAGCATTGATAATAGGAAACAAACATTTTAAAAAAGGGAAATTTTACAAACATTTTTGGACGACTTATTTTTTTAGGAAATTATCAGTTGACATATGTGTTCCGTAAGTGGTCCCTACTTAATGCTGATATTGCTGAGCACATTTTATGTTCATTGTGATAAACTACTAAGCAAACACTTGCTGTGTGATGTACTTTTAAAAATATTTTTTTTATAAATGAATGTATATGAGCAAATAGTTTGTTAGTGTCGTTTGAATGAATTGTAATTGAATTGTAATGATTCTAGCATTTGCTCTAATTTCAGTTCATGGTTGACTAATCTGGTGTATTGAGCTGGGCTGTACTGAACTTGCTGCAAAGATTCATAGTAACTTTTGCATGCCTAACATATTGTACAGTCTTTCATATGGAAGTTTACAAGCTACCCACATTCCCCTATTTTAATTGTTTTTAAATTTTTATACACAAGCACTTTAATAGTTGCAGTTTTAAAAAAATCAGTAATTATTTTGAGAAAACAACACACTAATGTTCATGTGACAGTAGTACTTGGTTTATGTAGACAATTCATACGCAACCAGTTGTGGTTTCTTAAATATTGCTTAAAAGGAATATAGTGCAAGTTTTTTTTCTTTTTGCCCTTAAGATGTTGAATGACCACTGTAGGTAGCACTTGACATTTACTGTAAAGTTTGTAAAAGGCTTGCTTATTCTTGTCTATTTTATAATCAGTTTGATAGCAAAGACAGTAGTATACCTGCCATGATGACATTTTTGGCAGGTTTCTGCGCATTTTTTTTAATTTTTAGGAAACGTTTAGTGATTTGTGTCAAATTGCCACAATTCAAGAGGTACTGTATATCTGAAGAACTGCCGTTTTTTAAAATAAAAAATTGGTTGCCTCCCTTGCTTAGGGAAATGCCTTTTGTCCATATATTCTTTTGTATAAAATATATCTAAAATGATCATAAATAAAATATTCTTCTATGGATAAATGTTTGGCCTTTTAGTGCTTTGCACTAAAAAAACTGTGAATGGAAAATAGACTGTAACTGTTGCTGGACATGTTCTATGTTGAATGTACATGGTTCTTGGATAAATGTACTTTATTTGGAAATAAAGCAGACTGGAAGTTATTTCAGATAAATGTACTTAATATGTGTATGCTTTTGTTTAAACTAAATTTGTGCGTACTTAGAAAGGCAGCAGTATAGATGATGAGATTAAATAATCTGATGATTTTTACCTTGCCATTTAAATTGTTGGTTTAAAAGTAAGATTGTAAGGGTAACTCACTTCCTCCCTAAAATCCTGGATGACCACTGTAGGATCATCCGGAATTATGCATTTTCGTTTTAAACTTCATCCTTCCAATAAAGCGATGGCATCACATTCCAAAGGCAGGTAAATTTGTTTTCTGAAATTTTAGTCTCAGTCATCTTTTAAGACTTTTGGGGACTAAATTTCTTGTTTTAAAAAGATATCTCTGGGCTTTAACATTAATTATTCAAACCGAAATTATGAGAAGTCTAGACTATTATTATTTAATTGACTAATCTATAACTTTCTGAATAATCTTGAAGAATCACAATCAAGCCCAATGATATATTAACTAATTCCATCCCAGTGAAAGCCCTCCTGAATCTTAGCATTCTAAAGCCAAATTCCTTTTTCCTTATGTGAAATTCCAGTTCAATCTTATCAACAGGAAAAATACATTATTTCAGGAAGATACCATGATTTTGACTAACCAATAAAGGGGGATGGAGTTTCAGAATTCTGTAGCAGCCACAATCTCTCCCTTATAATAAAAGAGTAGTGGGTGCCAAACTTCTAAAATGCACTCCTTTAGTGTTAGGCCGGAAAAACTGCCACTCAGAACACACTGGCTGGGTTGACTGGCTGCTTTGTGCAGTCCCGCCCAGTGTTCCAGGGTCATTTGCATATGGAAGCTGATTGGACGTCACTCCATTCCACACCTCAAACTCAACCCCCCCCGCAAGGCAGTTGGAATTTTCAGTTGCATAATAGGGGAGAGGAGAATGATGTCAGCTGCTCCCTAGGCAGAGGCTGTGGGGGGGGGGTTGTAAAACTTAAGACAGACAGGCAGGTTGGCTGATGGTTGCCAGGAAAGGACATGGGGTTGCCAACTCCAGGTTGGAAACTTCCAGGATATTTTAGGGATGAAGCCTGCTGAGGGTGGGGTCTGAGGAGGAGGAGGAAGAGGGGGACCTCAGACAGATACAATGCCATACTGCCCACACTCCAGACAAGCTGTTGCCAGTCTCCAGGTGACAGCTGGAGAGATCTTAAAGCTTTGGTGCTAATTCAAACTGTTGCAATTTATCGACAGAGTAGTGTTTCGGAAAATCTTTAGGAATTGTTTGGTGCATTTACGATGGGGATCCTGGGGAACTATTGTTGCCAATCTTGGCCCAACAGCTATCAAACCATTCTCTTCACCCCCCTGCTGTGCAGCTGACTTTCCCCTAGGGTTGCCAATCTCCAGGTGGGACCTGGAGATCTCCCACTGTTACAATTGATCTCCAGATGACAGAGATCAGTTCCCCTAGAGAAAATGACTGCTTTAGGAGGGTAGACCCTATGACATTATACCTGCTGAGTCCTTCCACCCCCC